TCTCAGCTATTAGGAGCAGGCGTTTCTCTACTCAAGAGAAAGTACAGAGGGTACACACCACAAGGCACCCTGTGGTTTCACCTGTGTGACCATGGAGATGACATGAGGAAGTGGGATGGACAACCTACTTTGACCCTACGGGCATGGGTACATGAGTTGCAAGGAAGAACAATCACAAAAGGGGATCCCTCCAGGAAAAGTGCCACTCCTGTTTCCAGCAGACAGCTCCCCAGACAGAGCAGAAGGCCTGATCTTACCTCTGATCCTCTTGAAGGGACTTCCAAATAATTTCTGCAAGAAGTGAGTAACGGATACTATGATCAGGATTAGAGGGGCCCTGCCCCCAGCCAGGTGGGGGAAAGGGACAACCAGGTTTATTGGACTGTGTGGATTCACTGAGGAACATCAAAACAACCAACAGGTGAACCGGGCTGCTAAGATTGAAGTGGCTCAGGTGGATCTGGACTGGCAGCATAAGGGGGAATTATTTATAGCTCAGTGGGCCCATGACGCCTTGGGCCATCAAGAAAGAGATGCAACATATAGATGGGCTTGTGACCGAGGCATGGACTTGACCATGGACAATATTGCACAGGTTATCCACAAATGTGAAACATGTGCTGCACCTAAGCAAGCCAAGTGGTTAAAGCCTCTTTGGTATGGAGGACGATGGCTAAAATATAAATATGGGGAGGCCTGGCAGATTGATTATATTACATTCTCACAAACCTGCCAAGGCAAGTGCCATGTGCTCACAATGGTGGAAGCAACCACTGGATGTCTGGAAACATACCCTGTGCCCCATGCCACTGCCTGGAATACTATCCTGGGCCTTGAAAAGCAAGTCTTATTGTGACATGGCACCCCAGAGAGAATTGAGTCAGACAACAGGACTCATTTCTGAAACAGCCTCATAAAGGGCCAAAGAGCATGGCATTGAGTGGATATATCACATCCCCTGTCACGCACCAATGTCAGGGAAGATAGAACAATACAATGGACTGTTAAAAACTACACTGAGAGCCATGGGTGGTGGGGCCTTAAAACACTGGGATACATATTTAGCAAAAGCTACTTGGTTAGTCAGCACCAGAGGATCTGCCAATCGAGCTGGCCCTGCCCAATCAAAACTTCCAAGTACAGCAGAATGGGATAAAGTCCCTGTAGTGCACATGAAGAATATGTTAGGGAAGACAGTCTGGGTTAGCCCTGCCTCAGGCAAAGGCAAACCCATCCGTGGGATAGCTTTGCACAAGGACCTGAGTGCACTTGGTGGGTGATGCGGAAGGATGGGGGGGTCCAACATGTACCTCATGGGGATCTGATTTTTGGTGAGAACAGCCAATGAATCAAATTGTATGATGTTAAGTGCTAAATAACCCTGCTACCATATGTCATCATTACTATAATTGCCATCAATGGTACTACAGCAATAATCACCCAACCCAATGACAGATGGACTTTGATGAAACTGAGTAAAGTGCAGCTGTGATGGGATCAGAACTGACCTCAGCAGCTGGCACCCAGTAACTTCCTCGAGATCCACATCTTCAACCTGCAGACCGTGGGCATGAGCCACCCTGGGTACACCAGCTACCAGCTCTGAATACAGCATGCAACAGTCCAGCACCACACACCATCACACCTGCCCTGAGGGACTGTTCTAACAGATGGAGTCCAAAGTCATGGGCTAAATGAACTCAATGCACACTTTAGAGGGATGGCGATAGGCTATGGGAATTTGATCTGTATGTGCATATATGTACATATATATATATATATGAGACAGGGAAAAGTGGTGACAATTAATTGGGAACTGTAAGATCTGGGCATGACATAGATGATATAGAATAAGTGGTGGATAATGTCCTGGTTCCAGCAGGGATAGGGTTAATGTCCCCAAGGATCTGGCAGGGGACACAGGTATTCCATGCCACGTGAGCCATACCCAGGCTATAGGGGGGAACTGGCCAGGGGAGGGGGCAGGAAGTGGCCCCTTGGAGCAAGCTGGGGCTGCCTGGTCTGTTAGGTGAGCAGTGGTACCTTAATTGCATTTGTACATTCCTCTATCATTGTTAATCGTTGTTGTTTTTCTCTTTCCTTTGCTGTTCTGTTAAACTGCCTTTATCTCAACCCATGAGTTTTACCTTCTTCTTCCAATTCTTCCCCATGGCTTTGGGGGTTGAGTGAGCGGCCGCGTGGTTCTTTGTTGACAGCTGAGGTCAAAACCCCAACAACTGGTGAGGCCACACCTTGAGTAGTGTGTTCAGTTTTGGGCCCCCCACTACAAGAAAGACATTGAGGTGCTGGAGAATGTCCAAAGAAGAGCAATGAAACTGGTGAAGGATCTAGAGCACAAGTCTTATGAGGAGCAGTTAAGCGAACGGGGGTCGTTCAGCCTAGAGAAAAGGAGGCTGAGGGGAGACCGTATTGGTCTCTACAGCTACCTGGATGGACGTTGTAGCAAGGTGAGGGTTGGTCTCTTCTCCCAACTAACAAGTGATAGGACAAGAGGAAACAGCCTCAAGTTGTGCCAGAGGAAGTTTAGATTGGATATTAGGAAAAATTTCTTCACTGAAAGGGTTGTCAAGCACGGGAACAGGCTGCACACAGAAGTGGTGCAGTCACCATCCCTGCAGGTACTTAAAAGATGTGTAGATGTACTGCTGAGGTACATGGTTTAGTGGTGGACTTGGCAGTGCTAGGTTAACGCTTGGACTTAATAATCTTAAAGGTATCTTCCAACCAAAATGATTCTATGATTCTATGATCTTATTTTACAAATTCTTAGAGTATTTTCCGCAGGAATGTCAGGGAAGATAGAACAATACAATGGACTGTTAAAAACTACACTGAGAGCCATGGGTGGTGGGGCCTTAAAACACTGGGATACATATTTAGCAAAAGCTACTTGGTTAGTCAGCACCAGAGGATCTGCCAATCGAGCTGGCCCTGCCCAATCAAAACTTCCAAGTACAGCAGAATGGGATAAAGTCCCTGTAGTGCACATGAAGAATATGTTAGGGAAGACAGTCTGGGTTAGCCCTGCCTCAGGCAAAGGCAAACCCATCCGTGGGATAGCTTTGCACAAGGACCTGAGTGCACTTGGTGGGTGATGCGGAAGGATGGGGGGGTCCAACATGTACCTCATGGGGATCTGATTTTTGGTGAGAACAGCCAATGAATCAAATTGTATGATGTTAAGTGCTAAATAACCCTGCTACCATATGTCATCATTACTATAATTGCCATCAATGGTACTACAGCAATAATCACCCAACCCAATGACAGATGGACTTTGATGAAACTGAGTAAAGTGCAGCTGTGATGGGATCAGAACTGACCTCAGCAGCTGGCACCCAGTAACTTCCTCGAGATCCACATCTTCAACCTGCAGACCGTGGGCATGAGCCACCCTGGGTACACCAGCTACCAGCTCTGAATACAGCATGCAACAGTCCAGCACCACACACCATCACACCTGCCCTGAGGGACTGTTCTAACAGATGGAGTCCAAAGTCATGGGCTAAATGAACTCAATGCACACTTTAGAGGGATGGCGATAGGCTATGGGAATTTGATCTGTATGTGCATATATGTACATATATATATATATATGAGACAGGGAAAAGTGGTGACAATTAATTGGGAACTGTAAGATCTGGGCATGACATAGATGATATAGAATAAGTGGTGGATAATGTCCTGGTTCCAGCAGGGATAGGGTTAATGTCCCCAAGGATCTGGCAGGGGACACAGGTATTCCATGCCACGTGAGCCATACCCAGGCTATAGGGGGGAACTGGCCAGGGGAGGGGGCAGGAAGTGGCCCCTTGGAGCAAGCTGGGGCTGCCTGGTCTGTTAGGTGAGCAGTGGTACCTTAATTGCATTTGTACATTCCTCTATCATTGTTAATCGTTGTTGTTTTTCTCTTTCCTTTGCTGTTCTGTTAAACTGCCTTTATCTCAACCCATGAGTTTTACCTTCTTCTTCCAATTCTTCCCCATGGCTTTGGGGGTTGAGTGAGCGGCCGCGTGGTTCTTTGTTGACAGCTGAGGTCAAAACCCCAACAACTGGTGAGGCCACACCTTGAGTAGTGTGTTCAGTTTTGGGCCCCCCACTACAAGAAAGACATTGAGGTGCTGGAGAATGTCCAAAGAAGAGCAATGAAACTGGTGAAGGATCTAGAGCACAAGTCTTATGAGGAGCAGTTAAGCGAACGGGGGTCGTTCAGCCTAGAGAAAAGGAGGCTGAGGGGAGACCGTATTGGTCTCTACAGCTACCTGGATGGACGTTGTAGCAAGGTGAGGGTTGGTCTCTTCTCCCAACTAACAAGTGATAGGACAAGAGGAAACAGCCTCAAGTTGTGCCAGAGGAAGTTTAGATTGGATATTAGGAAAAATTTCTTCACTGAAAGGGTTGTCAAGCACGGGAACAGGCTGCACACAGAAGTGGTGCAGTCACCATCCCTGCAGGTACTTAAAAGATGTGTAGATGTACTGCTGAGGTACATGGTTTAGTGGTGGACTTGGCAGTGCTAGGTTAACGCTTGGACTTAATAATCTTAAAGGTATCTTCCAACCAAAATGATTCTATGATTCTATGATCTTATTTTACAAATTCTTAGAGTATTTTCCGCAGGAAGCCACCGCAATCTAGAAGAGTAGTAAGAGTACACTAACAGAGGTTTTCCAAACAGAAATCTACTTTCCGCACCCTCCCCCTGCCCCCCGCAATTGTGGCCCATAATTCAAAAGTCATTTTAGATGCTACACTTTCTTGAAGTCCACTAGTTTGCAAGACAACCATTATGTTTTTCTAATTACTAACCATGACCACAAAGATAAGTAACATTACTAAATATTTGTAGCTTTTCTCCAAACAATACAGTGATTAGAAGCTAGACAAGATGCAATTACATAGATTAGTTACAACTGTGCGTCAATACTTCTTCCAGAATTGCCAATAATCTTACCACCTCACTGTAGCCAGGAACTTACAAAGTTTAGTACTGAAGAGTTTTTGGACTAAGCTGAGTATATGCCTTGCTTCAGTCTTCTGATTTACCTGAAATATGACAGTAAAATTAAAGAAAAATGTTGGCAACTCTCATTTAGATGTCCCAAGTAAGCATGCGTTACTTTTCAAACAGAATTAACTCTCAGGATAAGACATGAACACATATACCAACACCTTCCAGAGCCTACATATACATTTAGTGAGACAAAAGCCAGACAGAACAATCCACATTCAATATGTAAAGTAGCAATCAGACATTCATAAATCATAGAACTTGACAAAAACCTAGCCCCACTTGTACAGAAATGTCCTTTCCTTTCTCTTCAATGATGCTTCAACTCTTTCAAAATTATGCTCTTATTCAGATTTCTTTTTTGTTACATCTTTCCTCCTAACCTAAACTCTACTCATAAACATTTACTATCACCAAAAATACTTAAGATATTTTGCATATCAAATTCTTTCTTATGCCTGCTCAGTAAGATTAGTGGCTATGAACCTAAATAATGAAATAAAAAACCTGTACTTCATAGAAGTTGTTCTGGCATCTAAAATGAGTTCTCTAAACAATTTTCATCATAGAATGGTTTAGGTTGGAAGGGACCTTGAAGATCATCTAATTCCAATCGCCCTGCCATGGCAGGGACACCTCCCACTAGACCAGGTTGTTCAAAGCCCCATCCAATCTGGCCTTACACACCTCCAGGGATGGTGCTTCCACAGCTTCTCTGGGCAACCTGTTCCAGTGTCTCACCACTGTCATGATTCTAGGCAATTTACTTCTCTGTTTTGCTGTGTTTTTTTCACTTACAGAGTGAAGGTAATGCTTATTTTTTGAATGCTTTGTTGGGTTAAAGGTTTTATAGGGTTACATTCATGTTTGCAACATTATTAGGCCCGCAGTTCGTAGCTACTATGAGTGCAAAAATATGTTATTATATCAAAAGGATTTGACTATTGGTTTCTCATTTTGGAATCCACAGAATCACATAATGGAAGGGGTTGCAAAGGACCTTCAGAGATAATCTAGTCCAACCCCCATGCCAAAGCAGGTTCACCTAGAGCAGGTTGGACAGGATTGCATCCAGGTGGGTTTTGAATATCTCCCCAGAAGAAGAATCCACAACCTCTGTGGGCAGCCTGTTCCAGTGCTCTGTCACCCTTCAAGTAAAGAAGTTTCTCCTCATGTTGACACAGAATTTCCTGCGTTCCAGTCTGTGCCCATTGGCTCTTGTCCTGTCACTGGGCACCACTGAAAAGACTCTGGTCCCATCCTCTTGAAACCCACCCCTTAGATATTTATAAGTGTGGGTAAGATCCTGTCTCAGTCTTCCCTTCTCCAAGCTAAACAGACCCAGGTGTCTCAGCCTTGCCTCATAAGAAAGGTGCTCCAGTTCCTTATCATCTTCATAGCCCTCCGCTGGATTCTTTCCAGTAGTTCCTTGTCCTTCTTGAATGGGGGAGCCCAGAACTGGACACAGTACTCCAGAGTGGCCTCACCAGGGTAGAGTAGAGGGGAAGAATAACATCCCTCGACCCACTTCTTTTTAATGCACCCCAGTATACCATTGGACCTCTTGGCCGCAAGGGCACACTGCTGGCTCATGGTCAAACTGTCCAACAGGATTCTCAGGTCCCTCTCTGCAGAGCTGCTTTCCAGCAGGTCAACCCCTAGCTTGTACTGGTGCACAGGGTTATTTGTTCCTATGTGCAGGACCCTACACTTGCCCTCACTGAACTTCATTAGGTTCCTCTTGGTGCAACTCTCTAGCCCGTCTAAGTCGCACTGAGGGCAGCACAGTCTTCTGGTGTGTCAGCCACTCCTCCCAGTTTTGTGTCAAGGGCAAACTTGCTGAGGGTACACTCTGTCCCCTCATCCAGGTCATTGATGAATATGTTGAACAAGACTGGACCCAGTACTGACCCCTGGGGAAGACTGCTAGTTACGGGCCTCCAACTAGACTCTGCACTGCTGATCACAACCCTCTGAGCTCTGCCATTCAGCCAGTTCTCAATCCACCTCACTGTCCACTCATCTAACCCACACTTCCTAAGCTTACCTATGAAGATGTTACCAGAGACAGAATCAAAAGCCTTGCTGAAGTCAAGGTAGACAATGTCCACTGCTCTCCCCTCATCTATGCAGCCCATCATGACATCATAGAAGGCTATCAGATTGGTCAAGCATGCTTTTCCCTTGGTGAATCCATGTTTACCGCTCCTGGTAACCTTCTTTTCCTCTACATGTTTGGAGATGACATCCAGAAAGTGCTGTTCCATCACCTTTCCAAGGATGGAGATGAGGCTGACTGGCCTGTAGTTTCCTCCTTCTTGCCCTTTTTGAAGACTGGTGTGACATTAGCTTTCCTCCAGTCCTCAGGGACCTCTCCTGTTCTCCAGGGCCTTTCAAAGGTGATGGAGAGTGGCTTTGCAATAACATCTACCAGCTCCCTCAGCACTTGTGGGTGCATCCCATCAGGGCCCATCCAGCCTTAAAAAAGCACATATATAAAAACGGCTTTGTTTTTACCATGTATGTTTTAAATTACTTACTGGTTCTTCTTTAACCACCAGGCACAAGTCACCATCACTGCTACGAGTGCCAAACCCATTCAGTGAGGACCCAACCAAATAGAGTCGGCTCTCTGTAATAGAAGAATCACAGAATAAAACCTATGTAACATCTCTTAGTTTAAAAGAAAGAAAGAACTGCAAACCTGAAGTACATTCAAACTGATATTAAGTAACCAAATTCAAAACATACGTGGAAATATTCGCTGAATCTCTCTCTGGAGTTCTGTTCTGCAGAGCTCTTTTCTGTTCAAATCACAGGTCTGTTGCTGACATGCTTGAAACAAATCCAAAACCTGCTGACTTAACTTGACACACACATGCAAAAAGTAAAGATACAGAGAAGTGAACATTCTTTCCTGCCAGTGATGCAATTACATGAAACACAGAAGACTGCATTAAAACAAACAACAAAAAAAAAAAAATCAAAATCCAGCATCATTTCACAAAATCTATTCCATTGTCGAGAGTTTACCATACTTGAATTCATGTTGAACAACTCCCCAGAAGAAATTTCTGCAAAGTTTTTAAATTCAAATTTGTTCAATCTGTTTTAAAATGTGTATCCACAGAAGATATTTTTTGCCTCCTCATTATCTGCAGCCTTTCAGGGAACAAGCAGTAAAAGACCAGACATATCTTCTGCTGACTGTAATGTCAACAGTTTGCTGGCCAGTAAAAGGGAGAAAAATAAATATTAAAACTGACTTAAGTTAGCTTCCTCTTTCATCCCACATAAACTATTAAAGAAGTAGTCAGACCTTTGGTGGAAGGAGGTATTAACTGTTTCTCTTTCACAATACTGTAACATGCTATGATCAACAGTAATATTTATACTAAAAAAAATCTTCTGTCATGTTGGTGCAGATAAAATATGAAGACTGATTAGCCATGTTTGGTTTTTTTTAACTAAAAATGAAAAAAACCCACAGTTCCAACTCCACTGTCTGCCTAAAGAAGACATCCTCTTCTACATTCCAGAACAGGTAGAAGAGAAAATTTTATCTCTTTCTGAAGAGAGGCAGAGGACACCTTTACGGGCACAATACTGTATTTGTTCAGAATGGGCTTCTCTCACATTACTAGGGTGGGGTTTTTTTTCCCCATCAGGATTCTCCCTGCCTCCCAATCATGGGACAAACAGACCATCCCTCCAATTTCTGCTTCCTGGAGCAGACATGTAGGTTTCCTGACATTACTATGGAAACCAAACAAGACAGGCAAACACCACTCCTGCCCCCGAAAAATGCTCCAAACCTGAACACACATAAGGAGGCTATATAGGACCATACTGGCAGCTACACTTATTGATATTCCTCCTAATGACAGCTCAGCAATAGAGACCCCATGACACTCTCAAAGAACCTCGCAGAAGTTTTTGTGGTCTCCCAAAGCACCGTTGGACCCTGCCTACTCAGAAGGCAGATGTAAACCACTGGCATAGAAAGATGTTACCTTATCTTTGGCCACAGGGAGCGTAGTTTCTATAGGGTCTGGAAACAAAGTATCTCGCAATGGAGGGACACATCCAGTTAAATCTGGTATGTAATGTGCACGGAGCAATGGAGATTGAACTGATCCTGGGAAGGAGTATCTACGTCCTTCTGGTAAAGGCACTGCTTGGTTAACTACAGCTGTTTCAGGACAATGTGAATGAAACCGCTGCCGTTTGACATCATGTGAAACACTTTGTTCACGCAGTCTCCTATAAATAAATAAATAAATAAGGAAAAAAAAGAGAGACGGTAATTCCTCTAGTTTGCAAGCTCCAACCTACGATTAAAAGACAGCTGCTACAAAGTACAAATACCAATGCTTGATGATGTGACTATTTCACTAAAAGCAAGTCTTCTACAGAACAAAAGGCCTGCCTACCCTAGATAGTAAGTGAAATAAACCTGAAATGAGAAAAGCGTACATACATACAACTGCAAAAGTGCAGCCACCCTTGAAGTAAATTGATGCAACTGCTTTACAAGAGCGTCTGCATTAATCAATTGAAACCGAAATGGCAAGTTCAGTGAAGCAGGATAGCTCAGAAAGCTGGTCATACTGTTTTGGTGACAACATACTTTTTAAAAAACAAAAACATACAGACTGTGTACAGGTACTTTCTGAATACCTAGTGACAAATAAAATAAATTTGGTAGCGGGGAGGTGAGAAAAAGAAACTTATGACAATAGCCATTCAAAATGTAGCATTTCTCTGTGTCTTAGACTGTACAATACAGTAAACTGTGTAATCTGGGCAAAAGAGAAACACTATTCATTTGGCAAATCAAACTGATGTTTGTATCAAGCTACACAGGTCATAAACCTAATATCTCATTTTCAAACCTTAGTCTGTATCTCCTCACTAAGTCATTTGTCACAGGAAGTCAAACATATTTGAAGAGACATAGTGCTTACAGACAGCCCCTTGGCATCCTAACCCTTTACTAAGAAGAAGTATTGAAAGCTGACCGGTGGTTGAACACTGTAGTCCATCCACAGTAAAGAGTAAGAGAGGACATTCATGGTTTTTTTATACATCAAGTATTGCACAAAGTCAACCAGCACAGGGCTACTCACACATTTTTTATTTAAAAAGCATGAAATCAAATGCTCATATGTATCAATGAATTAATAAAACTACAGTCATTTCCTGTAGTTAGAAAAGCTACCATCAAAGTAGTTTGGGGACCTAGACAGATTTTATTATTAATAATAAAATAATAAAAATTTAACTGAAGAGACGTCAAGTTATCTTTCCAGTTTTCAAGTCTGAGAGAAGTTCTGGTAACATTACCTACCCACAATCTTAAACGAACACATAATGTAACATTAAATCAAAACACAATGCTGTTTCAGCCTGGTTTGACTGAGAAGAACTTGCACAAATTCATGTTCAGCAAAAATACCTTAAGAAGAGTTGACTCGAGATCTAAGGATTAACTAGTTGACTGCAAATCTACTAACATAGCATAGCTTTCCATAAACCAGACTGGTCAAGAGGAAAACATACATATAGGATGAAACTAGGAACTTCTTTAATTCATGTGATAGTTATATACTCAACTGTAACTTAATACCATATATTTAATTGTACATATTTTCTGATACGTTAAATCTGGAAGAGAAAAAGCATACTGGAAATAGTTTTGAGGACAGATTACATAAAGCTTCCTCCCTATCAGCCAATTCACAGAATTATTACAAGCACACATCAACTACTATTCATGAACTGATAATGACAAGTTTTTTTTTTCTAGAATGTGAAAAGAAAGTAAAACCATACATTCATCTGAAATGCCTTTCTGTTGCAACTAAAGTAACAAAGGAAGTTATGTATGTTCCAGTAAGTTTAGTTTTTTGAAAAGTAGAAAAACTATGTTTTCATAAAATTCCTGTTAAAAAAAGAACTTACTGTATTCGAAAAATAAAGCATTGGATAATTAAGAAAAATCAGGAGAAACATCTAGCGTGTCATCAGAAAAAACATCACAATTCCCATAAAGCATCAAGGGTGCAGTTTTACTCTTAACTCGGCAAATTAATAGGAAGAGAACACTCAATTTATTAAGACAAACACTCTTATAGTTAAGCACACACAAACTACGATCTATTCTAGTAGTTAAATAAAACACGTAAATCACAGTTCTGTAAGGCTACAGCTGTTGGAACAGAAAAACTACACATATTGTATCACTTATGAGTACTAAAATTCTCAAAAGCAGCTATATGAACACTTTAAAATGCCAAGACATGGCCTGTTTCATCAAAAAACATTTTATTTAGTATTCTTACAATTTCTAACAAAAAGTTGCACAAGAAATTGGTATTAGACAAGCTTCACCATGGGTACATTACGACCAGAATTAATCAAACACACAAAAAGAACTTACTTTCTTCCTCGGAATGACGTGGGGGCATCAAACATATGTACTGTACTGCCATTTCCATAAGTCATTGGCTGCAGTGTAACAGCTGGAATAGTTGCAAGGTTCCCACTCAAAAGAGCCCTGGAAAGATTACAGTCCTTAACTGTTATTCATATGATAACTAAGACGCTTTTTATGGATTTGTAGTTTTTCTTAAGTGAATATGAAACTCAGCAAGTCCTGTCATTTTTTTCTTAGAAGCAATAAATCTGTCTTTTCTACCCAAAATGAAGAGATACTTCAGTATATATTTTTCTTTAAAAAAAAAAAAAAAAGAGAGGACAGTCATTCTTCACAACACACGTGTAAGAAAAGGTGTCGTGGTTTAACCCCAGTTGGCAACTGGAACCACATAGCCACTTGCTTCCCCCTCGCCCCCTCCAAGAAGGGTGGGGAGAAAGAGCGAAAAAAAAAAGGAGGGGAAAGGCAGAGAAAAAACAACCTGGTGGCTTGAGATAAAGACAGTTTAATAGGTAGAGCAAAGCCATGCATGCAGGCAAAGCAAAACAAGGAATTCATTCACTGCTTCCCACGGGCAGGCAGGTGTCCAGCTATCTCCAGGAAAGCAGGGCTCCATCACACGTAACAGTTACTTGGGAAGACAAATGCCATCACTCTGAACATCCCCCCTGCTTCCCTCTTCCCCCAGCTTTATATGCTGAGCATGATGTCACATGGTATGGAACATCCCTTTGGTCAGTTGGGGCCAGCTGTGGCAGCTGTGTCCCCTCTCAACTGCTTCTGCACCCCCAGCCCTCGCTGTCAGAGTGGTGTGAGGAGCAGAAAAGGCCTTGACTGCCTAGCAACAACTAAAACCACCAGTGCACTATCAAAAGTATTTTTCATCCCAAATCCAAAACATAGCACTATTCCAGCTGCTAATAGAAAAGTTAACTCTGTCCCAACTGAAACCACAACAAGAGGCTAGCAAACAAATTAACTTAAGGTACTGCTAAATTTAAGAGCCTAAAGAACACTATGGTGTCTTCAAATCTAGCCCCAAGAATAAATGTTTCTTCCCCTTCTCATCTCCCCCATTTTCCCCAGTAAACAAATGGAATCGAAGATCTTTAAAACTGAACTGTAGATTATTAACTCTAACCGGTGCAACAGCACATCATGCATTATGCACAATGCAGGAGAGCACTGAAACTTGCAGGTCACCAACAGAAATGGTACAGCTCTGTTTTACACGACCCCTTCCTGGGTTTTTTTGCATTTTAATGCAGTTTAATGTTAAAAACAGTGGAAGATGTCTTCCATAAACAGAAATACTTCTTTCAAAAGACCATCAATTCTCTTTTTCAAGCTAAACCCCACTATCAATTCTTACTGTACTTACGCAGCATTCTGAAAATTAAACCGAGCATCAACAATTTGTTGCTGAGAAAGAGTAGGCGGTATATTTAGAGGAAGCTTATTGATGAGATTACTCTGTTGTTGATGTTTTGGAGGGAAGGGTGGACGACCCAAGTTGGAGGGATTTGGGAACATGCTCCTTTCTACTTGAAGATAACATGTATCCTTTTACCTACATTAAAAAAAAAAAAAACCAAACCAAAACAACAACAAAAAAAGAAATTAGGCAACAAGAAATACTGGTTATCTTTTAAACTCTTGGTTTATAAATTCAAACAACCTAGAATGTATTTTCAGAAATTGCTTTAAAGAATTGTGATTGTGGGCTAGTTTTATCTCCTTTCGGGGCAAGACACTAAATAAAAATACTGTATTCTCTTAAGTTTCACAATTACCACTTCCTTTATTTATATTTGAAAGTGAATTTTTATTTGCTCCCCTGCATTTTAAGTTTCATTTTAGAAACAGTACACGACGAAAGACATAAGGAAAAGTAACATATTACAGTGGAATATGTTTCTCATTTCAAACATTCCACAAGGAGATTCACAATATATGGAAAGAAACACTTGACTACATCCTAAGAACATGAAGATGCAGCTGATCATGAACTACAAGTAAAATTAATTTTTTTTGAGACATGATATGCAAAGAAGCAGCCAAATGATGATAGCAAATGGAAAGCAATCTACTCAAGCTTTGAGAATATCATACATATAGTGTTATCTAATGTTTGTGCTTACTAAATGGATTCTGTTATAGAAAAATGTAGGTTTACTATCTTTTAAATTTAAAACTTATTCTGGCACAACTGACTGCTGTTTGATCTTGTATCATTATACGCATTACACATTAGCAGAAAGGTTGGATGAAAAAGAAAATCTTTGACTCTACGATAGGTTAAACTGTGTATTGCATCCATTTTGCAAATCATCAGTATTTTACCTCAAGCTCAACTCACATGTTGGAAACAACAAAAGTTTAGACTTAACATTGGAAAAACCGTCTCAGATCTTTAAATCCAGTTATCAGTACTGTATATATCTCTCAGCTGCAGTGAAAACCTGACATTATTTTCAAGCTTCTTCATTGTTTTTTTACTTCAGTCTTAAATAAGAACCCTGCAAACAAAGATGTGTCACTCACACAGAGTTGCATGATTGATCTCAATACTCTGCATAGGAATGTTTATCCAATTAGCACAATACAGCAGCTCAAATAAAAGAGCAAGAAGTTTTTTCAAACTACTTTTAACTCCTCAGACAGCTTCGACTGTCACTGCAGGCAGCGTTAACATGGAACATGGGCAAATAAATACCAAGGAGTTTACTTGCTCCAGTTTGAGTTCATTCTTTGCTTCCTGTGACGGTAACAACCCACACTAGTGAAAACCCCATACTACCTACATGGACACTGCTGCGTTAGCCCCAAGAAAAAGCTGTCAAGATTAATGCTCTCACAGCTTTTTCTCCCCCCACCACCGGGGGTGGGAGAGGTGAAATATTATGTATTAATGAAAGTTATTTGGGGGATGTTTACTTTCAGTTCTGCTGAAGAGACAAAACTGAATCGCATGACAAGAAAGTCATCCAACATTTACATTTAATCTGAATGATATTCAGCTGTAAATACCGCAGCAATGAGTTACCTTCCCAAACCCAAAACAAAACAGCGTAGTAACACTGCAGTCTCACAGGAGCTGTAACAGCATTTACCGTGGCTTTCAGAAGAGATCACCTTGGCGGAAATCTGTAGGTTCTCTAAAAAGTTTCATAATCGTTACAATTCAGCTACACGTGTACCAGTGAGCACTTTTTCCAAATCAGCCTATACTTTTGGGGGAAGCACACGAGTAACTGCCGGTACACTGCCCGTGCTGACAAGCCCAAGCGCAGACGCCGCTCCCGCGGCGACCGCAGC